GATAAATACCAGACGATCGATATTCAGGCGAGTGGGAGACCCAGCGAAAGTTTTCTTCATTGCTTTTATAAATATTTATTAGTTACTCTCTAAAGCGGTTTTCCATCCAGAGCTTTCTCATCAAAAGGGGTCCCCCACTCTCTCAGCAGTTTTCAATAAACTTTCTTATAAGCTACAGGAAGTTCGATCTCCTTCTCGGTTCTATCGCTCGCCTAAGTATGTATCGTTTACGTTACCAGTAGTGTCCACTTGCAGAGAAAGACTGAACTCTTTATATGCGAATGACTGCTTAGCCACTATGCTTTCGAGTGGTTGCCTTACTTCCAAGGTAATATCCAGTCGCCTCCGATAAATACTCTACTGACGGACATAAAGCAGCTACGGAGAATGCCGGATATACAGGACTTTCAGTTGCTCAAGCCCATAAGCAAGGGCGCTTTTGGGTTGTCGAAGTTATAGGGCGTGCCTATATAGATTTTTAGTCTTCTTTAGAAAAGTGTATGTTGCTCGAAAAAAGACCACGATGGACTTATATGCCATCAAAGTTATAAGGAAGTCAGACATGATTAAAAAGAACATGGTTGATGCCGTTTTGACAGAGAAGTTTGCTCTCTCTATCCTGGACAACCCGTATGTTGTCAAGCTATATTACTCCTTTCAGAATGCGAAATACCTCTTTCTCGTAAGGAACACGCTTATCACGTGACCAAAGCCACCTCACGCAACTTTCTTAGGTAATGGAGTTTCTTGTGGGCGGAGATCTGGCATCGCTGCTATACGTGCTTGGATCCCTTGACGAGGGTTTAGCTGCTTTTTACGCTGCAGAGATTGCCTTGGCTCTGGAGTATCTGCACGGCCACAACATAATTCACAGAGACCTGAAGCCTGATAACATGCTCATTACTAGCAAAGGCATTGCTATAACCTTTGTTATCACCGTAGACCTGTCAGACCCGTACATATGCTTATTGCCAGGCCACCTGAAGTTAACGGACTTTGGGCTCTCAAGAGTGAATGTTCGCGAACAGGATATCCAGCCTTTCAGCCGAAACGTAGGTGAAAAAAGCACACCTTTCAAAAATGCTCAGGTTATAAAGAAGTCGCTTTATTGGAAATAGCTTGTGTTGACTATTTTGCTACCAACTGGGTAGATCCCGTTACGTGTCCAGAGCGACTTGGAAGCTAAGACATCTAAAAAAGGTCAATAGTGTACTTGTATCGGGTATTTACGCAGCTAAAGAGTCTGAAGGAAGTTTTTTACTGCTTCTTTTTCCAAAAAAGTCTAAAGTCTCTTCTCGTGAGCCCAACAACTCTCACCGGGGTGCGAGAATTCCTTCCGAGGACCGGTGGCCCACTTTATTACCTTGTGAGTATGAGTTATTCAACTGTTTGCGACAACAGCATTGACATGGAAGGTAACTGGCATCGATGCAAACCAGATGAGTGCCGCGGCGCCAGCGCTCGCGTGACGAAGGTAGTTAATAAACTGCGCGAATCCGGTTGCTCGCTGTTGAAAGTTATCAGATACCAGGCACTCCAGACTACCTGGCGCCTGAACTCCTTCTTGGGCAGGCGCATGGTCCTTGCGGCTCTGACAGCTATTCATTTGTCGCTCAGTACTGGTTTATTAGGGTTTGAGGTTGACTGGTGGGCCTTCGGTGTTTGCGTCTACGAGATGATTATGGGCGCACCCCCATTTCATGGAGAATCGGTTCAGAAAATCTTTCAAAGAATTTTAAAGGGGTCGGTACTGTTATTTAGTGAATAAGTGCTATTATTAATAAAGGCGCTCTAGAGAGCTAGATGTCCCTTGCCTGGGAGAAGACTGCTCCTTCGAGGCGTGGGACCTGATTAAGGTACTTTTATTAGAAGCTTGTTTGGTGGTTGCTACGCAAACGTTTCTTTTTACATTCTAGGGTTGCCTGGCGTACGCCCCCTCCAAGAGGTATGGCATCGTGAAGATCAAAGGGCACGAGTGGTTTGCAAAGAATGATATTAACTGGTCGACTATTTTGAAGCAAAATGGGCCATGGGTGCCCAACCCGGTGAACACAGAAGACACGAGTTTTTTGCCCGTAATAACTAATACTGTTAGATTATTTTTACTTGCTGACTGCTAGTTAAAATTGCAGTCAGAACGGACTTTGATTTAATGGATGTCGAGCTTCTGGACGATGAAAAAACCGACGACGAATTATTTGGGAACTTTTCTCATAAAGGCACCCACCATTTTACGTCCGACCTTAAATGATAAACTCATGAAATGCGCCTTGAAACCTAATAAGCACAATATTCCGCGCGCACCACTAAAAGGATCCGGCCTCGACTTCTGCGCATTGACACAAAGTATTTAAACCTACTGAATAGTGTAGCCCTTATTGTGCGCACCTGCTTTCTTAGAGATGCCTTTACAACTCTCTCATTTTGCATAACCCTCTTTCGAATTTATATTAAAAATAAATCTGTTAGTATACATTATATGTGGATGCAGATTAAATCAGTAAGATTGCGGTGTTCCTGGCGCATCGTAGTTAACGTTTCCGTAATACATGTAGCTAAACAACTAGTGACCCCGTCCTAAAAAAAAACCTTTTTATAAAACGCACCAAAGAGGACTGCAACGAAAGATGTAAGCTGCAGAATACATTATAAATTGCGAGATGCGTGCATTTAGATAATGTCGACAACGCATCAGGGAACATGCATAAAGGATATTGCGGTAAGTAATTTAAAAGCTAGTTATGTAAGCTTACAAAGTACAAAAGTTGCCTTAAAGTAAAAATACTCTGAAAAGGTTTTATGTTTAATAGCACCTTTCAGAAAAAAAACTAGTCTCGAACGATCCAAAATGAAACCGCAAAAGGGGCATAAAAGTCTTATAACTGCAAATAGGAGGTGGAAAGAAGCGGTAGCAGTAAGCAAAAAACACGAAGCTAATGTCCGCTATTTCAGAATCAGCCACACGCAATAGTGAACGGGGTGGGGCGCCCTTGAGTTTTTCATTCCATTGATTGCGCCCGTCTTGAAGTCTTAAAAGATAGTAGAAGCCTCTGACAATACAGCAATCCCAAAGTTGAACCTAAAAGTTCAACCGGTTCAGCAGTGCAGTAAAAAATGCGCTGATAAAAAAGTACCGACGGATGCAAGGAAGGTCACTAGAAAAAAATCCCACGAGTAATTATTATCGTAAAAAGTAAGTTTCAGACCGTTTCTGAGGTTTTCTTAAACGCAAAAAATAACATAAAAACGTAACATACTTATATAGCCAAACCTAATCCTGTCAGCGCGCCCGACCAACCAATGAAGATCCCGTACACGGAACTAAAATACAAAAAAACTTATATGAACAATCGATGATGCACGTAATCCGTTATCACCTGCAAAGGAAACTGATAACCAAAGAGGCCACTGGAATAAAATCGTTAAGTCCATGAGAGAGGGGGAAACAGTTGCAAAATCCCAAAGCCAGCGGAAATGCCGCCTAAAAAAAACGAGTTAGAAAAATAAGAGAAAAAAGTTAACGGCAGTGCCATTGAAGTGAGCATGTTGGAAAGCAGAAACAAATTTATAACGTCCGGTTTGTAGACCGCCGCAGCGACTATCGGAACATTTATAATTACTACAATAAACCTTGTAAGCTTCAAGTCTTGCAATCTAGAGGCAAACGTTGCCGTTATGGCGAGCGAATGGTAAGCAACCACAAAAGCTCATGAATACTTAGACGAATAAGAGGCCATAGAGCCGGAAATTGAGGCGACGAGAGCATTCTGAATGCTGTCAATGGCCGACTCGTTCATAATAACGCCCATAATAACCACCAGGGCGCCTGAAAAGTGGGCTAAGAAAACAAAAGTGAGGAAGGGCAGAGGAGACAACCTATCGCTGACCGGACGATAGGCTGTTTCTCCCCTAAATTGAGGTAGTATTCCTAGATAAAAAGTAAGAAACGTGTAGGGAAAACGGCATATACAATGAAGGTTACCGAATTTACAGCGGAGAAAATGAGAATATTATCATTGTTTTTTCCAAGAGCTTTATAATAATCAAAGAGAAAGCAAGGAGTTAAAAAAAAGGCAGTACAAGTTCTTCTGGCAACAAGAACTAAAATTCCGAATACACCCGAAACAAGTACCACAAAAGCCACCAAAAGTGCAGCCGCGGCGGCACCTAGAAAGTAGGCAATAAACAACGGATCCCGTAGAAGCAGTAAAAGGTGAGAGCCGAAAAGCAGGGAACCACGCGTTTCTGAAGCCCACACACGCTGCCATATCACCTCTGAAAAAACGGTGCTGGTCACCATTGACAGGGGCATTGTCAAAATACTCGAAAAGCCTCATGTGGAGGAAAGAAGAGTAGACTCCCGAAGAAAACGAGAAGAGTGTCACGAGAAATACCGCTTTTAGTAGTCCCCTTTGCGGTATCGTTCCAGAGTGGCTTGCTTACTCGAAAAGTGGCCACCACATAAACCGTGAGCACTACAAATAAGACCGCACTGCATGTTGCCTGGATGTTATCTAGAAAGTAAAACGATTATAGTAAAGATAACTATAACCGAACTAAAGTTAAATAAAGGTAGAATGCCTGTTTCGATGGAAGTCTTCAACCCACCGAAGGCGGTGTAAGTCAGAGTAGTCACCGAGATGAGCAAGACAACAAAGAAGTCATAAGAGCCTAAATGTTATAAAGATAAGCAATTAACTGTATACTCTAATAATAACGAACCTAAGCCCACAAATTCTGAAAATATGCTGGAAATAGTGGAGAGTTCAGCCACAGCAAAAAGAGACATATTAAAAAGGGATATAATAACTACAGCCACTTGAGTAATGAGGCCGAATCGAAGTTTCGCATAGTCGCTTAGAGATAAAACTTTTGGAAACTGTTCTCTAGTGATATATATAAAATAAAGAAAGCACCTTAATTAATGAACTATTAAACCTTATTTTATCTCCATAATAAGCAATGAGTAGAACCGGAAGAGCAGAGGAAAACGCGTACATAAAGCAGCCCAGCAACCCAGAGCTGAAAACAAAAATGAATCATCAAAAAAGTCTAGGAATTAAGTATTAAAAATAAAAAAGTAACTTTAACTTCTAAACAAAGGCGACCACACGTAGAAAAAGGTTTAGTCATAAATAAACTATTAATTATTTTACTTAAAAGAATAACTCGGAGGCATTGACAAAACCCAAGCCCCTAGTGTTGAAGCATAGATACTCCTTATAAAGTAAAATATGTTCTTTAATTCCATACACTAAATAAAAATGTCAAACCAAGCAATTTTCCATCTGCCTTTACTTCTGCGTGCCGTTATAAATTCTTCGGTATCCTTAGAAAAATCTTATAAAATTTGAATAAGTTGTTCCAAGTTAAACCCCTTAAACAAACAAAACCTTGTTTTCGGTAAACCAAAAAAACTGCTAAACCACCGAAAAATATCACAAGTATTATCGAAAAAATAAAAGTAAGATAAGCTGCTGGGGTAGAAGTAAACTTGGCGTCAACAGAAAGTGCAGTTACAGGAAAGAGCAGACAATGAGAGGCGAACAACGCGCAGATAGCAACTGACATTTACTTTATACAGTAAGTAACACCAGAAAATAAAATATGCACAAACCTAACACGTGACCGATGAATATCTGGGTCTTCTAAGGCTCTGCTCCACCAATGAAACCTTTAAAAAATAGTTTATAAACATCCTTATCTTGGAAGTTCGCAGACAGCTGCACCGGCGACTACACCGAACTGTTAGAGGCCGATTGAGTTTTAAGAGCGGTGCTACCATTATGTTTAAGAAAGCTTGTATATACTACAACCGACCTGAAGGCTGTTGGAAAGGAGAAGAGTGCAAATTTTTACACGGTGCTCCTATTGAAAATGACAGTCGTCGTCTAAAGGAAGTTTGTAAATATTTTAAAGAAGGTAGATGTAGCTTTGGAGCTAATTGCCGGATGTCTCATAATCTGGAAAATGATATCACTCTGAATTCTACGTTTTTTGATGCTCAAAGTAGTCAATTTTGCAATAGAACTGGAAACTTTTCCGTAAATAACTGTTTTCCAAAGGCTGCCTTTTGTAGTGTTATTGGTACTGAAAAGAAAAACACCCAGGAAGAAACTTATTTAAAAAGCTTGTAAGCTACTCTCTCTTCTATTATTGATTTATTTTTACCTTTTTAAAAAGAGAAAACTTGAAGAAAGAAGTCACAACGCTCTATCCGTCTTCTTTCGCTTTATCATGTTTTTCAATCGGCCGTAACGAATTTAATTTGCTTGAAGTATGAATTTATAAATACTTAACACTTATTTTTTTATTGAAAAAAAAGTTTTTAGGGAGATATGTCTTTGGATGAGTTAAGATGGGCCTACACTCAATCTTTTCAGCAAAGTTCCACTCAAGAAGTGGTTTGTTTGTTCATTTGCCTTGTTAATATGTATAATCATTGGACGTAAATTTTATTTGTTTTTAACTTTTTTTCTTTAGAACCAAAAGATTCAAAATGCACGAGCTAGGATTAACACTCTTCGTGCTGAAATCGCTAGTAATCCTTCCAAATTTTTAAGAAATGAAGTTGAGAAAGATTTAAACTCTTTTTCTACACCTTTTAATTGTTTTAGGAAAACAACTAGTAATAATTTTATTGGCAATAATGATAGTACTACCATTTTTAATAACACTTATAATAATATTAATAAAAGCAGTCCCACAAGTAGTGACGATAAAAGTAATTTAGCGAAAAGTACATTTTTGAGTAGTAATATAATAGGAAACTTATCTTTTTCAACTAATGAACTTTCTACTCATAACTTTGAAGCTGCTACTAATAAAACACAGCCCCTAAAGAAACTTAGCATTTTTGATGTGGTAATATTGTGTTTGCTTTTCTGCACTTTTGAGTTTTTAACAGACTTATTCCCCTCAATGTCCCTAAACTTATTTCTACAGCTTGAAGGTAACTATAGTTTTTTTTTGGCCTTTGTGAATTTAACTTTATAGAATTTCCTATAAGAAGTTACTGATATATTTAAATAATTAATCCTATAACGCTCTTTTTACTTGAGCATTACTCGATGTATATTTTCAATTGTTGCGTTCATCTAATAAACCGCTCTATTACTAAAATATTATCAAAATGTCTTATTTATGAGTTTATATTTAGGGTTTTGCGGTTTATCATTTGATTGGCTCTCGTTGCATTTATAAATACCATTGGCCTTACCTAATTACTATAGTCTCGGAGTCTGACAGATCTTCGTTCCAGTCTGAACACTTCGAGCTCTTTTCGATCCCTGCCTGTCCGCCCCCTCCAGAATATTGCTGATATTTTTTAAACTTTTATTTTAGAAAAACTCAAATAATCACGACAGGAAATTATTTACGAAGAGCGTTCATTATCGATAGTTTAAATCTCTGTTTTATTAAATAACGCGACTGCTACCGCCGATTTTGTCTTCCATCCGTCGAAACCAGTCCTTCACGCTGGTGTTCTTATCGACATCCGTCCACGTGCATCTGTGTAACAATTAGTTTCACGCCGGTATTGCTCAATAATGTATTCTTAGCATTAACTTCATCATTGAAAGCGCCTTCATCACGCCGTACATATCGATATCAGCAACGCTGGGCACGTCCCCGCCTGCAAATTTCTTATTTCCGACGGCTTTAGCTAGCCACTGCAGGGGCGCCATAAAAAAAGCTTTAATCTTGATAATACTCAAGCCTGCAATGGAAGCTCACGTGGTCGACGGCGTCGTATAAGCTCTGCCTTTCGTCACCAAGCTCGTGTTTTTTTTTGTTTCTCTTAGCAACCTTAAAGGAGTTTAAGGAAAAGTCAAAGTAGGGTACACACTAACGATGATAAGAAGTACCAGGTACATAACCGCAGCTCCAAACACTTTATTGATGATCTTCTGAGCGGAAGAAAAGTTGCTTATGGAGTTGATGTACTCAAACGCCTTCGGTAATCATATAAATATGATCAGTTTTCACTGCTCTTAAAAAACAAATTGTAAACCTGGAAAGCTTCACGGGGCGTCCGGTAAATATTCGGAGACAGGAGTTTCATTATATTTTCGTCGATCCACTTACGCCACACCATGTCTTCACTAGTTAAAGAGCAAAGGACTGCTAAAAGCGGGATTATATTTAAAAAAATTATTTACTTTGTCTGCTGGCAGTCGACTTGTTTGCACAAAAAGTCAACTATTTCCTTTGAATCTTTAATGACTTGGTTGTTGTATTTTAGCACTGGAACCTGCTAGAAAATCAGCTGTTTTATCTAAAGATTTAGAAAGGTAAAAGCCTTTTTGTAGTCGGCGAGGAAGGCCAACTCCTGCTTCCTCATTGGATCCACCTCCACCACCGAGTAGGGCAACTTGTGGTAATCCAAGAAGGAGCGCACCTTGGAACAGAAAGGGCAGGCCTAGGACACAGTTCATATTAGGAGCACGTTTAGGTAATATTAGTAATTTAACGCAGTAAAAGTACCTCATACTGATAAAGTATAATCTCCGCTGAGTCACTTTTCTACAAATAAAGATAAAATTTAAGGTCCAGTAGCTAAAATATACAGAAAGTTTACGGAAGCTTAACTTCCTCGACTATAAAAACTAAAATGACATAATAGTAATACAAGGCACTTTATGTTGGTTTTTAGGCGGTGTAATAAGTTCTAAAAGATAATGTTATATGACCAGATCATATCTACTTCAGTTACAGCCAATTTTAATGTTTACAGAACTTTCTTTACATCAACTTCGTCAGAGTAAATAAAAAAAAATTAAAGCAAAGAGTAATATACTGAAGATGCAGGCTACTTAAAGCTGCTATTAAAAAATTAAAATGACACAAAGTATTGAAACATAACAAATATGTGTATAATATAACGTGTAAACGTAATAAAATTCAGAACAAAGGTTACAAAAGAATTAAAATATATATTAAATAAAGTACAGCCAAGACTGGCCTTGTGGAACAAAAAGCAAAACCGGTTAAACCACCTATTCTTTTAAACCTGCTTGTTAAACTTATAAGGAGTGAAAAAATACAAATATTTATTTTCATGTAAAAAAGAGAGTAAAAATACCCCCTGCATAGTTTTTGTTCGCCTTGATACAAAGGTAGTAGAAGTGGGAACTTCCACCATCTCATATACGAATTAAAAATAAGTTATGTCTTTCATAAAACTAAAACAAGCCCATTTTACATCCTTAGTAACTATCACTAACAGTTCTCGTTTATATAACATTATATCCACAACTTGTACCTACAATGGAAAAGAAAACTGGGATATACCAGGCTCAGCATTTTTCCTTGATTTAACTGTAGTAACGCTCACTACCCATCGGGGCAGTATTTCCACTGATGGCCGCCTCTTGAGGCCCGTCCTTCCTCTGCTCGAGGGCTTGGCCTTCGTAAAACTTCCTTAGTAATAGCTACGGTTTTAAAGTTTCGTTTACTTTATAACGGTAAAGCCGAAAAATAATTGAACATTTTCTATCTCACTCGGTACATAGGTATGAATTTTAATAAAATTGCTGTGAACAATATAAAAAAGGAAATTGGAGTTTCCTCCTTAAAAAAAGTTCAAATATCAAGCAAAAAGGAATATGTAAATACTATATTTCCATTTCTTATAACCGCTTATATAGGCTTACTTTATTGACAGCTACTTAAAGTTTTCTTTCCACTTATAACCTATTGATTGCAGGGTTTAAAGTTAGGAGAAGCTCTTCAAATACTATCGTTTAGTTCTGTCAAAAGTTTGCTAACTGCTCTCAAAGCTCTTGAAATTAAAGGTGAATAAATTTAATTCCTTTTTACCTTTCTATTATTCTTTTACTCAATTATGATTCTGTGGATATACTCAGAGACATCATTACAATTTGAGGATAAAAGTACTATTAAATTATGTGAGTCCCTTGCTTGTATAAAACATTTTTTGAAAGACCATGCAGTGAAACCACAAATTATAATTGAATACTTTCTTCTCCCTCTATATGATATGGTTACTTTTATTACTTATATACCATATAGTAACTTTTTTTTTAATATATTTCTTCTACTGAAATCTGTTACTGTTTATCTTGTCATCCTGTAAACAAAGTTTAAATATGTTTTACGTTTAAAATCTTTATTATAACGTTTTTTTAAAAAATATTAATCTATTAAAAATGCGTATTATATTAAATTATACAGCTGCTTCAAGAGATTAAGCGACCACCTCTTCTTATTTGGCTACTACTATGGTTCATTTTTCAAGAGGTTTTAAATTAGGAAACTGCAATCTTCCTTTTTCGATAAGACCTAGCCGTTTAGCGAGGTATGGAACGGGAAGCCTTAATCTTTTCCTTGAAAACAATGCTCGAGAATAAGAATCCGCGGTCCGCTTATACTGCCTTGTACATTCTGCTGAGTCTCTGCAAAATGTTGCCTTCCTTTCGTGCCAAAGTTGATATGCTCTTTTCTCCTACAGACAGAAAGGTCCGGCTGTTTTTAGTGATATTCGTTCACGCGTAGTAAAGCACCCTTTTTCTTGCTCTTGTCTCGTTGCAGGGGGCGTCAGCGCTTATCTCGGTTCTTAGAAGCGAGGAAGAGATGTTGTGCCTTGAGGCTCATGACGTCCTGCTCCTCGACTCCTGCTCCTCTTCCGTACTCGTCTGCATCAAACTCAATATAAAACCGATAAAGACCGCCGACACCGAACCGACTGCTGCTCCGGACGCCTCCTTTGCCTCGCTACTGCACGTGATCCAGAAGGGAATTAAAGCGACGCCTTTACTCGTATTGGCCGTCCGGTATCTGTGCTGTGTTCTGAGCCGCTCGGCCACATTGCTCATGAATACCCTGTTTTGCGGCAAGTGCAAGTGGGCTAGTGCTGTGACTGATCGCTGCGGTATCCTCTCTCTCCACTCGCCACCCTTACGTGGTTAGCTCTTACTGTTTTAAGATTTCGAGTGGCTGGATCACTGGCATTCTTCCCTCGCAAAGACTGCTATACTGAACAATCCCGCTCTGCTTAATTCTTTGCGCCTCAGGCTCCAAAAGGGGATTTCTTACCTGTGCCCGATCACGTGCTGCTTGGTTGCAAATTGGAGATGTTGGAGGTCCCTTTATTCTAGTAGTTCATGCGAATGTTGCTGTATTGAGAACTTGTAGTGGTGATTCGTTAGGCATTCGGTACTTGCTGAAAATCGCGTGTGAGCTCGTGGTTGGTCAGCGCTCTTACTCGCTTTGCATCGAGCTGTGTTCTTGGGTGTCTCACTATTTTTTGAAGCGTAAAAGAGTTAAACTTAAGAAAATCGCTGAAAAGTTTTCTGTATCAATATCTATGGTTTCTACGTTGGTGCAGGCTCATGGGTTGCTTTATTTCCTTTATTTATATAACAGTTAAGAAACACCTGCCCTTTAGTCGAAACTGTCTGCTTTCTGCTGAGGCGCTCTTTTCTTTTGCCTTGCTTTTGGCGCTTTATGGCTTTCGTGCAGCAATAACTACCGCGAATTGCACGAGCGTAGAACTTACTAGCTCTATTGTGGAACAATTGAGGGAGCCCCTTTACCAAGTAATTTTCAAAGCTCCCTTGGTTATCACGCCGTTTCATTTATATTTCGAGTGCAGGACTTCATTTTTTATATCGTTTTGGTTTTTACTAAAGCCGCCCCGAGTTGTTGCACACGCCTTTTCTTCACCAATCACGGCAGTCTTGTTTGTAATGGATATACCTCCAGTCCGATAACAACCCCCTTTGCTTGTGAGTGCGCGTGCCACTTCCATAACAAGGTCACGTGTCTAAAAGAATATGCATCGACATTGCTCTTAACGTGTTCAGAAGCTTTGAATTGCCAGGCAGTTGCTTTAAGCGCCTTTTACAATATATTTTTGTTGCAGCCTTCTGACCAAGTGCCTTCCATGCGGAGCATTTGTGTACTGTTTAGTTGGCTTCTATTGGCTCTTGATAGACATGAGTACATGCTAAGAGACGTAACTGCCGTTGAGCATGCTTCAGAGAGAGAAGCAATCTTTAGAACGTATTTACTTCATAAACTATATGAGCAGCGACGTCACTTTTCCGGAAACAGTGAAGTACACGTTATGAAAACTTCTGAAGAAGATGGCCAGCTTCCATTGTCAATCTCTCAAAGCTTCCCTATATCCTTAGCATGCGAATACTTGTCCTGTTATTTCTCCAAAATCGGAGTGGCCTCCACTCTTCTTAGAAGAGCCACGCTATTTCCTCCATTGATACCCGTGTATGCCCTTTCCGCGCTCTCCATTGCCGACTTGGACTTTACCACTTTTTGGGAGAACGCAAGAGATCTTGTTGGCTTTCTGAATCGACCGGCTACCATTACTTTGTACGTCACGCATTTACTAACGTGGATTGTGACGGGTAGGGCCCAAACTGATAATACCAAGACTGCAAGAAGGTCGGTTTTCCCGAACCCTTTCGTAGATAAAAGTTTCCGAGCCGAACAGTTCGCCCGTCTCTTGTATGAAGTAGGCAAAAGTGGCTATCACATACACATTTGCGCTTGTTTATTAGAATTTTTAAGAAGGAAGCCTACAGCAGTGCAACTACAAAAGTTTTTCCTGAACGGCTTTGCGGTTTCCCCTTCCGATCTTTACTATTCAGATATGCAACCTTTGCCAGTCCTCGTCTCTGATAGCCAAAGCGACGCTTTTTTAGAGAATATTGTCAGACTCTGGTTTTCTTATTTAAGCGAAGACGAGGCTACCAGCACTCTTCCCACAATCTTTCTTCAGCTGCTGGATTATCCCAGTGACGTTTCATATGTGTCCTTTTTTAAAATGATCTGCGCCTCTTTGGTTTCCTCAAAGGTTGTGCCAGTGACGTGTATTAGATTTTTAATAGCTCTTTTACTAATTATTTAATAGCCCTCCTATGAAAATAAACTGCGAGAGTTGTCCCGAAGTGGCTTTCGTCACACCGACTTTTTTCTGCGGGAAATGATTCACCTTCTTTACAAGCAAGTACTTGCCGTTTGCCTTATTCAATCAATGCTGTTTAAATTTTTGATTATTATTATTAATAGCTCTTTTATATCCAGGGTTTATTATATCTGTTATCTTTTTTTTTTTTAAAGCTATTTTGCATTTATTTATTACTACAGTACACTAAGCGATGCTTGACAAGTCTAATTTCCAATAGAGACTTTCCTGATACGGGTCGTCTTGTTGCAACTTATGCACACCCATCTTTTGCTCACTGCATTTTTCTACTGTTAGGGTGGCAGAGTTGTTACGTGCAACGAACTGGTGAGGCTTATGTATTTTCCGCTCTTGCCCCTCTTCTCCTGCTTCGCTGTCTGCCTGTGTCCTTTTTTAAGTCTCTCATTTTGGAGAAGGTTTTCTGCTCATTTCTTATTGAAAGCGCTCCACCTTCTCACTAACAGAAGCCGTGGGTCTGCTTTGAAAGTTTTCCTTTGCACTATGATATTGAGATCCCTTATAGTAATATCTATCCGGAGTTTGTGGTGCTTAATGTTGATGCGTAATTTATTATCTCGCTAGCATTATAACCAGCTTTTAAGCTTCCATCACAGTAGAGATTATTTGAAACACCCGCTGACTCTTCGTGATCAACTTTTTTCTGCATTACTATGGCGGCTCGGTCATCATTACATTGTGAACGGGCTCTTCCTTCCGCCCGCCTTTAACTCCGTACGTCAAGTTGCTGCCGAGCTGCTGGCAAGATTTCCGGTAAGGCTGGTTCTCAAACCTTGTTTAGGTACTTCATATACAGCTATACAGTTTGTATTTAGTAAGCGCTCAGCCTTCAGGTCGAGCGCTTAAGTCGGCTCTCGTGGATAATGACCTTTTGGTTGCTAAACTCAACTTGTACGCCCTGGTTGCCTGCCTACGCTACCTCGCTAGCGATCCCGAAAAAGTTCAGGTGATTTTTACTTTTTTTACTGTAAATATAGTAAATAGTAAAATATTTATATATAGCATAGATCTTATATCGACCATTTGCTCCCGTATGCCCAAGTGGTACTACATGGATCATTAGGTATTTTTGGTCTGCAAGGAACATCGAACAGCGGCAACCTTGAAGTTTCCAACTTAAAGCGTGGTTTTTATGATCTTGTGGGACTTTACGTCTACTACACAATGAAGTTTACGGTTATTGAATACCAACATGTTCCTCCCGATGAACAGTCTGGAGGTCTATTTGGTTCCCCTCAATTCAACATTGTGTACGCTTTGGTTGCGTGTCTCCTCGAGAGTGACAAGTTCAACGTCAATGAGGAGCAGCTTTCCTGCATTTGTGATTGCTTGCACAATGCCGTTTTGCTTACCAACCAACTTGGTACATCATTACCGCAATTCACAGTATTTTCGATTTTTTGTTACACGATAAACAGACGCTACTAAGAGAGTGCTGCTAAGCTTTAGTAAATTCGTCCTGGAGAAGTTATACTCAAAGCTTCAAAGTTTCTTAAGAAACTATAGACCAAAGTTACTGCCTTTGATTACCTCAGTCTGTGCTTTAGTGCCTCTGCAGTGTTCCTTTTTGAACCTTCTTAGTGAATATTGCAAGTATTTCATTAGAGCGAGTCTTGATCTGGCACGTGTACTTTTCGCTCGTTCAGACGTCTCCGGTTTATGATTTTTTTATATAGGAGTTTCAAAAGGATTCGTTAAGACTGTGCTGGATCGTCTGTTCTCGTTGGAAAGACCACGAGGAGTCCCACAATTTAGTTAAAGAACTGCAAGCTGAGGTTCACAGTCGTTTTCACGGCAGCTCTGAAGGCGATGCTCCTTTAAAGAAAAAACTGGATTACGAACTTACTATGCTCGTTCGCCAAATCTTAAGATAGTGAAGTTGTCGTTAGAATTGTTTTTCAATAAATAGTTTCCATGGAAAGTTATATTCAAAAGCAACATAGTTATTTCACACCTCGTTATTTCTTAAAAATAAGTAGACAGCCAACTGCGTGCACACCCGCGAGTTGGTTGAATTTGTGTGCTTGGACCCTGTCATTTTATAGGCGGTTCCCGCTCTACTACCGCTTGTAGATTGAATAAATTTAACTTCTTCCAGTCCAGCGCTGTCCTGTTTGATAACCCTAACCGGATTGTCGCATGTTAGCTTCCGTTAAGGTTTAGGGTTAGGTCGAGGATGTGCTCTCCTTTTATTCACCTTAAATGTTTTATCAGTGGGAAGAACGGGCTGTCTACCAGTAAAGAACTCATGGACGTTTATTACTGGATTACTATCGTAGGCTAACCTCGTGTAAAGCTCTCCTCGCTGGTTCTATTTGTCCCACAGTTCACTTAGAATACCTCCATTTGAAAACACAGTCTTCTTAGTCTCTGAGGTTGTGCTTGCAGATCGGAAATCGTAGTTTTATGAATACATGTGAAGAAACTTCTAAATAAAAGTGCCACCCTTAATAAGCAAACAGCTCGAAGTTTATTGGCTTCATCGAGTATAGGTGAGTTAACCAAAGTTGTCACGTCAGTTGCTACTATAAAAGACCTTAAGAATTTTGTATGATAAAATACCGTCAAGGGCGACAAGTAGACACCATATAAAGTCTGTACTATTTACAATTTTATTTTACAATCCTTACCTCTTAAAGTAAATAATTTTAAATGCTAAAAATTCGGGGTCAACATATCAACATAAAAAAAATTGGTTGAAAAATAGTGATAAGTTTTAGTCACTCGTTCAGTTGAAGTTCTAAGAGGCAATTATCACTCGGGCGTTAGCTTGCGGTAGGATACAATTATATATTCAGCGTGTCGGCAACTTTTAAAATTAGTGGTACTTTTAGTGTAAGCACTGTTCACTTTTATTTTGTTATTATCCCCGGAAAAGCAAGGCTACCTCTATAGCTCGCCGAGTGCACCCGCTTTTTGAAATCTAAAACATACAAATTTCATTACCGCTTAATAAAGAAACGACCAACCATGGCTCTCTTAGTCGGTCGTACACCCGTACAATGTTTGCAACGCTACCACAAACTTCTGGGTTGCAGGTGAAACCGAAGAGTTGAAGCAATATGTATCAAAACATTTCAAACTTTCTACCACCACAGTATTGTTCTATGTATATAATTTTGGACGTTAGATATGAGTTATTTTAAGCCCATTGAAACTGTAATATGCCAGTGCTTTAGTTAAATGGAAATAATATTGATCACCATATTCCCCTTGCGCTTAGATAGGGAACTTTAAACCTGGCGTACTCTTGGTAAAGCCCGGTCAGCTTGCTGAGCGGCCTGTGTTAACTTGACATGGAAGTATGTACAAGTGCTATACACAAGCTTCAACCAGAACAGGCATTTCTACTTTGAGGGGGGAGGAGGGGGGAATAAAGGCAACTTCCTATTTAGTTAATTCGAATATGTATCAGCAATAAACGCTGAACTTTCCAGTGTTGAGCAAGTACACACGGCGACTATTTTTATCCACTTAGTTCGTCCACAATAACTTTTAAACACACGAGCTATTACCTCTTACCAATAATAAACCAAATTGAGTTCTAGAAACTTATACACAATAAATTTAAAAAGGTTAAAGTAATAAGCGAACTAGCTTTTTAAGAGGATAAGGGAAGAAAAGATTATAAAAACAACTTTATTAAGGCCATACAAAAGGCGAAAGAAAGTTTGCAAGAATAAGCCCTCCCGCTACCGCTACTTTACCGGACACTGTAAATAGATGTAAACTTCAAGTGAAATTATATTATATAAACTAAGCAATAAGCTGGTTTCTGCCCACAAATCTATACGACAGCTCAAAAACGTAATCTTCAATAAGTTGAGGTGTTGTGGCACTACTCGATAAGGAGGTTAATGAGTGAAGTTCATGATGAAGAGAGACATTTACGTTAATAAGCCTAAAAACTCTTCTCTCGCGCTGTCCGGCAACGCACCGCCGGGAACAGCAGAAAACACGTCCAAAAGCCAGCGCTTAAACACTTCCACTCCGACGATGGCGGGGTCGCTGCGACAGTAATTGAGGAGCTCGTATAGAAGACTTGACACGTGGGCTATAGAGAGACAAGGGAAACCGGTTATATATGGATTTCCAAGAGAGGGGCTAGTCACTTACGCAAACATGACTGGGGAACTGAACCGCTGACGCATTGTACTAGCATGAAAACGAGGTGTTGCCCGTTTTCTAAGAGAATGCTGAAGGCCGATATTGCTCAGGAAAAAGACAAAAAAAAATAAAAAAAAAAAGGTACTTGTTTATAGATGTTTTGAGATTAATGTCGCCCTGTTGAGGCGCCTTTAAAGGTCTCAGAAACTGCCGAATATAATCGATAGCGGCTCTAAATTGAATAAATTGTAGTATTTTGCTCTAAAGTGCAGAAAAAAAGAAAAGAACGATACTGGAAAGAATTTTTGTGATAGCCTTGTAAGCCAGTTACAGCAAAGCGGAAGCCTTCAGAAGCTATACGGGAAGGCAAAAACACTGCAGTCATCTCCCCAGCACAACGAGTCTGGCATGGAGAGGATGTGGTTAGAAGGCGACCTTCGAAGAGCATATGGACATACGAGGAGATGGAAGTAGTCTTCTACGAGAAGATAGTGCGAGTCGTAGATATTGCCCTCTTGCTTTACTAAATACTGATTAGAGTATTAGATAAAAGAATCAGAAATGGTGTATTGACAGGCACCTGCATGGTTGACTCGCAGAGTCTCAAAGTCAAGCTCAGCAGGCCATTCCGGCACCTATAAAAGAGCAATTCGCTGATCATTAATCCAAAAAAGAATTGTAGTACTCCTCTACGCGCCCAAATATTTCCACCGTAACGGCTGCCATATAGAGCAGAGAAGAGTGGTGGTGATGCTCATACACAGAAACAACGGCATTAGTCAAGTCCGGAAGAAATACGGCGCCTTTCCTGCCAACAGCCCGAAGCATGTATCTTAAACCCCCACCAAAAAAAGTTAAGGGCGGTTGGCCCTCTTGCCACGTCGTAGCAGAAGTACTTTACACAACGGGTCCATTTTTCGACGTCGTAGTCGGACGCTTGATATACATGCAGCGACTGGTCGTAACAATAACCACACATGTATGTAAATATGTAAAATCATGCGCACCTGAAGCAGGCCAGGCCAGAGGCTTTGAGCAACTTGCAGTATAGACGAAACGTACTCTGGCTCTAACAGGACAGTCAACGTCACTTGGCATTTATACACAGAAGAAGAAAAGTATAGTGCACTTGCCTTCAAGACGGAGATCATCAAAGAACATGGAAAGCGAGTCGAACGAGTCCTGCAGTGGCCGGCACTAAGAAGACATCATAAGAAAAGAAGCGGAGAAGAAGGGAGGAGGAACGGACGTCCGGTGGCTGCGGAGTTCGCGTCAAAGCATTGATACGCGCCAGAACGGGATGAACGAGCATAGACGTCTTTGAAGGTTAATCAACCTCGCTTGCATGAAACAAAAAGCACCAGTATGATACAATTTTAAATAGAAATTCGGGGCTGTTGGGGCCTCCAGTGCGGGACAAAACACATCCGACCGCTCTGTAGCACTTCATACGACGCTCAAAAGAAAGTGCTACAAAGTTTTGAGCTGAAATGCACCGAATTTGTGTCAAGCAGAAGGCATTGAGGGCAAGAAGAAGAGTACCAATGTTAGAAAGGCAATGTACTAGAGAGTCAATGCAAGGAATAAGGGCAGGGGGGTCGGATGTGCATATACTGTACACCGCATCCGCTGCTGCCGGTGCCAGCTGGTTATCCTGCGAGCATTACAGCATGTATAGAGGATAAGTGTTTCAGGCACAAAACCGTAATATAGCGGCAGCATAGGGAAAACATGAAGGCCAGATATCCGGGGTGGGAGGTCAACCAAATCCCCAACTCGCCAAGAAGGTACAGAGACGAGCTCTTGACAGCAGACATGTCTTCAGCGGACAGCAATTGCGCAACTGTTCCTGTGAGTTCAGGCACTAAAAGAACATCTCTTACCGCACTGTGTTCCGCACAGAAAGCGAGTGTCGTACAAATGACGGCTTCTTCGGCAGGACACAGACGAGCGATGCTGGCAAGCGAATACAATGAAGCCTCCACTTCAAGCATTTGCCCTGCACAACACCAATCACAAGTAGTTACAGAGCAGTGAAGAAATGCATACCCAAACGAAGGGTTTTTTTTAACTCCTCATAAAACACGTGAAGGGGCTTGCTCCACCCGAGCAGTCGGGCAAGCTTCCATGTGCATGAAATAAATATAAGTAATGTAAGTATAGAGGTTCTCGAAAAGTTTACAGAATACAGCAGATCTCCTGCTTGTTGGCGAAAGTAAGCAAAATCTTCGCTCTCGCCTAAGACGCAATCGAGAGTGTGGGAGTTTGAGAGTCTAACAATGCAAGAAGACACTATCATTATTCAAACAAAAATTAAAGAGCAACCAACCTTATATTCTTCAGCAGTACAAGGAGGTAGTAATCGAGGTAGGCACCAAAAGCAACCAGAGAGCCGTCAGCAGGAGGGCGGTTTCTGTGTCAGTACCGCCACTGCGTGACTGGTAAAGCATAGACTTTTAAGCAGCGCGGCACCTCAGCTCATCCACGAAGCGGTTCCAGAAGCGAAAAGTTAGCTCGGATACGTGAAAGTGCGTATTCTGCGAGCACTCTAGTATGACTTGAATAGCGCATTTGCTGGCCAATCATAAATAAAGCAAGGTATTTATAAGCCACGTGGGTTCTGGTGGCCAGAGATACCCATCGCTGGAGGCTAAAATGAGGTCCAGATAACTAACACCGAGTTCAGTAAATATTTTGACGTAGCCTTCTTGTCTAAACTTGTCGTCCTCAGAAACAGCTTTGTGGTAGTCGTGAATGAGATTCATAACTCTCGGCAATAGCGCCTGAAAAACGAGATACAGCACGACTCAGAAGGACAAATAGCAGAAAACCAAAACTGCTATAAAACAAACCGAAATCACTCCAGCAAAGAGCGAGGAATCGTCTGATGCATATATTAAGTTACAGACGCAAGACACTCCTGCACAAATTAATTTTGACGACTTTTACTTGTTATGTGGTAGTTACCTTCGTCAAATAAGTGATCGGTTGCTAAAGCCTCGATTGGAGCAAAGAATATTTGACTCGACAGTAAGGAGTCGTTCTTAAAGGCACCAAATTCAAGCCAAGAGGAATACACGCTTAAAACTTTCTTGTGCAAGTCAGAGATTCCGAGGCAGGAACCTGTATTGCTAGTTAGATGAGGTGTAGCACTAAACAGACGGTTTTCTAGTAACCCTTACTTTTTACATTCTTTATAATAGCACATTGTATAAAAGTGCTTAGTACGTTATTGTTCCGTTTACAAATTAAATTATAAAAAAAATGCTTATTATAACCTAAAAGTTGTAAAACATCATCGCCGTACTGCTTCAGCTCGACAGTAATATCGGCTAAACGCCGAGTGGTGATCCGAAGTGAACTGAAGTAAAGGAGTAATATACACTTTAAAAAATAAAAAAGAAGGGGTTTATAGGGGGGAACAAAGCTAAAATATAACTTTAGAAACTACGGCTCCACCGCATAAAAAAATTGATGTTTTTTTTTTACTCTGATAAAAGTTCTTCAGTTAGATTATAAATTATTTCTAAAAGACAAGGAAGCGTCTCACGATCGTGTCTGCAAAGAAATTGCTCTCAAAAAAATTATAACTTTTCAAAAAAAGGAACTACCCCAACTTGTCTATACAGTAGGAAAGAGGAGTTTCCCAGTGAGGCATGTAAATGATTAAATCTGCTATTGCACAAGCGAGCTGGCCTAGAGTGGGGCCATGTTTATGTTTCCTCTAGATAAATATATAACCTTGTAGTAAAGCTGTAGGAAGCGGGCCTTTATTTAAAACGGACATAATTAATGAAACCTACTATTAGCTCAAAGAGTGACTCCCTTAACAAAGAATATGAATCTTTTGGAAATTCGTAAAAGTCATATTTAATCTTTATAAAAATAAATATTTCCTGCATTACTAAAGCAGAAGATAACAGGCTACCTTAGTTCGCATGGTCTGTGCCGCCAAAAAGACTACTTTAGGCTCTGAACAGCTTTTAAGCACTGAAGCGCTAATATCCCACGCATCAGGCTTTTAGAAAATGTAGTGTTATTGTGAAAGATACATGATAGAAATATGAGAAGTTACACCGATTCTTGCATAGACTTTATCCAAGCCTGAGCCTCCTTTTTAGAAGAATTATCTGGTTTAGGATCAAAAAGAGTGTTGACAGCCTCAATAAACTTTTGGACCGTTGGCATCACCAACTACACTTCTGACAAATGCTTCGCGTTAATCTTAGCAAACTAAGCAACTTGCAGAAACATAATGCTATCTTTACATCACATGTAGTCACCCTCGGGGGCGCCTTCCTACCCTCAATCTTAGTCAACCTATTGCGTTGTTTCCGGTTGAGGGTATACAACTCTATATTAAAAAAAAGATTCAACTATTAGTAATTTAAAAATATATAGCTTTACTTTGCTGGAAATGGACTAGTATCAATTCCATTAGAGTAATATGTAATAGAATTTTTGTTACTGCTTACGCTTTAGGTACATTACAAACTTTTTTACTGTTCTTTATTAGTTTAAAATTGTTATAGTTGTAATATTATTTAGTTATGTTTCGCAGATGACTTAAGAAAGTAGACATCTACCTTGTGTAAAAAAAAACTGATAATTTTTAATGATACCATTTCCTAAGGTATATCCATATCTTACCACGTTATTCTTAATAAATGGGGTTCTAATTAAATACATATTTTGATCACACACTTATGACCTTAATCACCTCAATCGATAAAAATAAATTATTCACCTAAAATTGTTGTCTTTCACTTTGTCAGGCTTAATAACCGTGCTTTTGTATAAAACGAGCTTTTAACATGGGTTTTATACTTAAAATTAAAATTTCCTGTAAACTTTGAACTTTTAGCATGACGACTGTAACAGGTTATATGTAAAGCAATAATTCCGGGATAGTGAATTGTCGCCGAGGTTCAAGCATTGAAGCGCATACTCAAAGTCTTGGGTTCTACCCCCATGGCGCAACGCTTTTTTTCGGTCATTACAGGTTGCGTATTTAAGCTCGCCCAGTATTGCAAACGGTCTCATTGTAAAAAATAGTAAGCAGCGTACTTAAAACAAAGTTAATAATGTGTGTATTCAAGTTAATATAACTAAAATATTAGGACTCTTCATACTTTTTGGTTATAATAGCTTATTAAAAACTCCCAATCTTAATCTGAAAAGGAAATTTTATGTAAGAAATAGCACAAGTATGAAATTAAGGTAAATATATGGTACCAAATTTTTGTTAGTTAGTAGCAGTAGTGTATTAATAGACCATTGAGACATAGGTCAAAAATCTATTTAATAACTTGATAAGTGATAAATACTAACTTTATTATTACATTTTACACGATTAGCATTGGCGCTCCCTCCCACTATAAGAGTGCCAGGTAAACCAAAAAAATATTAAAAAAATTTGCTTAACAATTACTTATTGGTGATTCTTCTTAGTGTGCGTATATTATATGTGGACTAAAAACGCATAGTGAGGTTCGTTTAGCCAAATTCAATTAAGACTGGTTGATTTAACGCGATTTAACCATTTCACACTTCAGCGATTTAAGCATATAACGCATATTTTAGCAGCTCGCTTGGTGTAGTAACTGCCCCTTGCAATGTCCTGTACAAAGAGGTAGTGAGACTGTTTTACATTAATAAGCTGTATACAATTGAGTCCTTAATAGTAAAAGAAAAAGCATATTAACTATTAACTATTTATATTATTTTAATTTCCCTTCCTGTAGATTAAACAAAGTTATTATTACCTATATTACTTAATTATGTAGGTTTGTTTCTGGTTCCGTGTTCTTAATTGCCGTTGTTTTTGCTGCATTTTCTTTATTAAGCCTGCTGACTACGGAATGGTAATTTTTCAAAATTTTTTTTTGTTTTTTGTTTTTAAAATTTGACATCTGAAAGGTATGTTAGTCCAAGCGGGAAACATATGGGAATCCCTTCTAACTGCAATGATACCTTTGTTTCCGTACAAGGTTCGCTGTTTATTGCTTTATCTTTTTTTCCTAAAATTTTTTTATCTTTTAATCTTAGGTGTCAATGTTACTTTTTGTCAAAGCTTTGGTTTTAATAGTTTTGCAAATAACGTTGAAAAGGGTTTAGCAGGAGCGCTTTTGACATCTTTTATATTGGCCTTACTTGTGGCCAGTTCTTTGTGTTTGAACTGTTGCTCCCGAACCTCAGGTCTTCTGTCAATATATATATTTAATGGTTCTTTTTCCTGATTTCGGTTGTCAACCACGTTTGAATAGGTTTTTTAGCTGTTGTCATGCTCATTGCTTCTTTTGGTAATGCCTTCGTTTGCCTGACTTACTACGTCTACGAAAAAAATCGTGTAACCGCTGAGATGTCCATCGGTTATTCTTACTACTCGTGCATATTTTCCACTGCATTGGGCTTATGTGGAGGTCTTTTATCGTTGGCAACTAGCAAAGACCATCACTACCGTGATTATGTTCGACTTGATTAGTTATAAAGTTTTTGTATATTTATTCGAGTGGCATGACATTTACCAGTGGAGCTACTCAATTCTGTTGCAATAAAAGTTATAATTATAATAATCATTGTATGTAAGAGCTAATTATCTATTATTCTTGTGGGCACGCATTCACTTTCAATTTAGTTGAACATTATATGCCTCCTTTGCAATTCCCTTTAATACGGGAGATATTATTTGTAATCACGATAGTGAAAGTTCGGCGGGTATGTTATGCCTGCCAAATACTAAGCATTGCGCAACTTTGCATTTCTTAATAACAATAAAGCAATTTTTATTTATAAATGTGCACAAGGAGGAGGCTTGTTTTGGGCGAAGGGTAGACAGCAGCTTTGCGGGTAGTTTTTTAGTCAAGATCCTGCAAGAATGAAATATAACTTAATCAAAGAAAGTTAAACATCATACCTTCCAGTTCACGGGATCCTCTCCGTTTTGCATTAAGAAACTGTTTGTTTTCGAAAACGGTTTGCTACCGAAGAAACCGCCTTTGAAGGCAGCAAGCGGGGAGGGATGGGCGGATTGGAGAACCAAGTGCCGTTCCTACAGTTGTAAAACTGATTATCTCAACTTAAAGGACTGTTTATCATAAGAGACCTTATTTATTTTACTCCCTTTCTTATGTGCAAAACCTCCCCACAGTATAAAGACGAGTCGTCTCTCACTAGAGTTTAAAGTTGCTATAACTAATTAAGTGGAAAACCAGAGCTGTATACTGTGACGGTCAGTATTCTATACGATACCTGCATCGGTAAACTTTTCCCAGCCCTTATTTTTATGAGAGTTTGCTTGTCCCTGTCTGACCGTTAAACAAGAATTCAACAACAGCACACCTCCATATAAATTTATAAGGCAGAAGAGATAGAACAGTTAGTTAAGATACCTTGCCGAGCCCAACCAGAGAGATCGCCGTGGCCAGGATTTTTGAAACCTTCAATGTCAGCTGCTAATTCTTTATAGATGTTAACGAGGCTGTTTAGGAGGAATAGTTACATTGTAAAGAATTGGTAAATCGGTTCTGATCAAAAAAAATAGCAACCTCGGGGGAGGCGGAACTCCTCGGCGAACACTAAAACAAAGGCCGTGAGCTTGAGTGGGTTGATGGTAGGGATCTGTAGTTTACAACCAACTCTTGTAGAAGGTAGAATAGTGCAAAAGCGTAGCAAGAAGAGACCTTGCCCAATTATTACAACCTTTACCTTCTCATACTCGCACAGCTTTGTCCAAGTAAATATTTCAGAGTCTGTTATGAAGCGTGAGAGAGAAAAAAAAATTATTGATAGTCTCTATATAAGATTAATATATAGCACTTGGAGGATAAACTACAAACCCTTCATTACGTTCTTTTTCTAAAAAAGTTTGCAGCTATAACAGAAAAATAGGGTTAAGAGGAGAAAAAGTAGAGGAAATTATAGGTTGTACACGAGTAAAGTAAGGTTTACTAAACTCGTCATTCAAGATTTTTAACCAACTCTGGCCGACATGTATTTTTATAGAAAGAGAAGTTTTTGCTAGTTCCTTTTTTTTTTAAATAAAGTTTGTAATATGATAAAAAAATCCAATACTATTATAGTTTAATTTGAAAGTAACTTTAGAAAATCTTTTTCAAATTAAAATTTTTTTTAGATGAGTATACAGTTCTAAGGATATCCTCAACCCCACTGTCTTCTTCTGTTCTGAGTTCGGAATTCCTTAAGAAAGAGAGAAGGATCAACACAGAAGTATAAATATTTAAAAAGTTACGTCGAAGTCTTAAGACGTTTATGTGGTCTATATAAAAAATTTTCCCGGTAATCAGTATTCATATAATTAGATATTTTTAATTTAGGCATTATATAAAATTGCAGCGAGCCAACTGTGGCAATATCGCCTATTCCACACTTAGAGAACCACAGAGAGAAAAGTTAGGTATTGATATTATCATGAATTTTAAGAGCAAGGTTAGAACGCAACTATCTAAAATCAACTAAAAATTTGATGCTTCCCGAACTAATGACTCTGTGTTTTGGGTCATGTGTTACTAGCGGGTATGGATTCTCATGGCGTTAACTATTTTTCAAGTTTTGTGGTGCGAAGGAAAATAGCGGTAGTCGTGCTGTTACTGAAACACCGCAACTGGATCAGTCTAGAGACTATTGATCTACCAGCCTTTTGTCGGCAGTTGATAAGGTAGATTGTCTATTTATATAAATTGTTTGAAGGCAGTTGTGGACGCTTGGAATTTTCTGGAGGTTAGTTTTTTATTTCGAAAGGGACACTCAACAACCCGAAAGCTATCTGCTCGCCGTCTTTAATGACTTTGAAAAGGCTGTTAACCAGTTATGGAGGAAGGCCTGTTACGCAAACTGCACGCTCGGGCGATTCCGTGCCATGCCTCTTTCCACCTTCGCCCACTGGTGGCAATTTACGCCAATGAGAAAATGTTTTATTCAGTCATCAAAGTCACCCAGTATACTATGTCAGCAACTACAGCTTTATTTCGACGCGCTTGATGGCAAGTGTCGCCATTGCGGCCTCTCTATTGAAGCAGCAAGAGCATGGCCCTTCTTTTTAACAAAGAAACCCCTTGCGCTACCAGCACCGTTGTCTTGCAACGTATGGAAATTTCGTAGTGTTCTCAGGTGAGATACCTGGGACTAATCAGAGATTAAAGTAGTCGTGGCTCCACACGTAAATCATATGAGGACAAAGGTCTAAGCAGCGACACAGATGCAATATCTATGGTGCAACAAATGTAATCTGTGTTGGGCGTTCATCCGAACATGACATATGCATCTAGTGCCTGGGCGTACGAGTCACCGCGATAGCATCCTCGCTCCTTGACATGTACGACAAAGTGAACTGCTTCTCCTTTAAATGGAAGCACCGTTGTTTGCACGTATAATACATTTCTCTGCGAACTACAGCTTAGGCCGCTGACCACCATCTTTAAAAGTAATGTCGTGGCCAATTATGAAGGGAAGGTTGGACGCGCTTATCGTCATAACGAAAGGACTCACTCACGAGTCGAGGAGTGGAGCACAATACCGCCATCCGTTTATTGCGTCCTAGAGCGTGACGGTTGGAAGCTAAGTTGGGGGTTTGAACTTAGCGTGAGGAAAAACAATATAAGATAATAATTTTGTGCGCTTGTAAGCGAATGACCTGTTTGAGTGCTCGAGTATTCTAAGTTGCTAACTTAATAGAGCACCAGAAAACACCGTTATGAATAACATATATAACGTGAGAGAGAGTGCAAGAGAGGGGCTCTTGTGCTGTTCGTTTGTTTCTTTATACAAGCTTCCGAGAGATGTAAGCTTATAGCTTAACTTATTTCTATTAATATATATACATATTAAACTTTTGGAGAAAATTTTTATTATACTATTAGTGCTTACTATGGTAACTAGTGTTAATAGATTTAACGTGCTTTAACCTCTGTGCTACGGCAACAACTTCGTAACTTAACTGTTGACCTGAATAATAATTTTTATTAGTTTTTGCCTAGCGGATTATGAAGCCTCTATGACCTGATATTATAAAAGTAGCTAGGCATCCTTAACGAATTTGTTTTTAGTTTCTAATTGTTCTCCAGTCCTTTCTAAAGTTAAATTTCTCTTATTTATTAAAAATTTAATTTTTCTAAAGACTTACGCTTATGTTAGGGCTTAAACTTAAATATTGTGTCCATTTATAATGGACGTCAAAATTCTTGCGTGCTGGAAATCTAAGCACGCGCGCAACTTTAACGCCCATATTGCGTTGCCCAAGCTTAAGTACTTCCTAGTGAAAACTTTTTCTAAACAATTTTTATATTATATAGTTGCTTTAAAAAGTATTTTTATGCTTTTAGAAACAATTAAATATAGACTTTATTATTTAAAGCAAAAGAACTTCTTTTTTTTAACATATAAATACTCACCTAATTTTAGAGAATGTCTATAAAAAGTTAGAGTATATTTTTTTTTTCACACTAATAAAAGTTTTCTGAGTCCGTTTATTAACATAATAATTTTCGCCTTTCAAGAAACAAACATGTTTTTAGATTTACAGAATTAGTCTTAAGAAAAATGAGATCAGAAAGAACAAGCAACTGCCTATTTTTGAAAAGGGGTTAAACATTTTATGACAAATGAAATTATTTAGTTTTTGTTAAAAAACTCCAAACATATTTTAAAGAAAGCTTTTAAGTAAATGCTTTAAATTAATATATACTTCTTTTTCCTTTTGTTTATATAACTCTGGGTGACACTTCAAACTGCAATCCCTTTATTTAACTGTTGGGCGACCTTTCTTTAAACACATTCCGAGTACAACGATTAAGTAAACTAAGTATTGAGGGCTGTTTGAACAATGCCAACGCAAGGGCGCGTGCTGAATGGCGTTAAAATTTGTCATGTGCGTGTGCATGTATGCGCTTGTTACCTTAGGAGTTACGATACATGAGTACTGCCCCTTAAAAATGAGCTGAAAGCTTAAGCAGTACTCTTAACTTAAACCATCTTTACATTATATTTCGTTCTATATAGTATATATCAGAACTATTAGTTCCTATTGATAATTTCTCTATCTTGTCTTTTAATTTTATTCCTACCCTGAGTTTTCCATATAAATATCTTTGAATCTTGCTTTGTGTAATATTTTTTTCACTGAAAATCTTTAACCGATTAAAGTACCCTTATTTAAGTTTTAAGTTAGAATGACCTTTTTTGACAGTGACTTTAACGACTTAAAGCTAATCTACAGCGCTTTCAGGCTCCATCCCCATTAATTTTCATATAAAGGGGGTTGTTGTCCTAACCTCTGTTGTACTTTCTCTTTTAAGTTTGAAGAGAGCCAAGCCTCGTTTCTACTTTTTTTTTAATATCTGTTCTAAGTTCTGTTCCCACTTTTAGTCTTTTTGTTTTTATACACTTTCTGGCCTCTATTAGTGAAAGTTTCTTTTGTTACCTTGTTTACTAAGTATATTATCTCTTTGCTTTTAAGTTTTCGTTCTTCACTTAGCTATTTTCTTCTTGTCAGGTAGTGAATTACTTTTTCTTATTAATTCCTGGTCTAATTTTTTTTAAACCGATAGACTTTATTAACTCAATGAATGCTTTTTAAATTGTAACACGCAAATTTCTTAAAAGTATATTACTATTAACGATTAAGTTACGTGCATATTTGTGTACTTATGATGATGTTGTTTAACCTTGTACTGTTTAAAGTTTTAATGAACTTTTTTTTTTACATAACATATCAAAGGTGTAAATACGTAAACTACTTTTTGTTTCTTTAAACATTTTTATTGGTCCGATTACTAAAAAAGTTTAGGTTTATTGAAACGTTTCCAGTCGTAGTTTATATAAAAATCTAATTTAAATAGAAGAGAAACATATTCTCGTTTTTTTTTGGAGTAAAAGGCCTTTTAAAGAAATCCGTATTGCATTCAACCGGGCTAAAACAATAGATATTAGTCAGGATCAATTTTATGAGTGACGAGCACCAGATGCAAAACACCATTTGTAAGGTGTGCACAAACTTTTTAACTGCCTTATTTTCCGTGGTGACCCGGATAGTCTGCCTTACAGGCAAGAACATCTATGAAACATGGCTTGATTATATCTTTAAGTCTATGGTTATTCCTGCTGCAAATCGAAAGCTCCAGCCCTAGAAGTAGAAAAATAGTTTCTATCGCAATTTCAGTATGCTAAATTAAATAAGTTCCAAGTTGAACCGTGTCTTCGAACCATTTGCCAACGCGGGCATAACTGTTGAGCGCATAGTGTGCGTAAGCTTAATTTTTCTTGGACGCCAGATAAACAAGGTTTTCATCATTCTCCTGCAAGTTAGCAGGAACAAGTTTCAAATAGTAAAATTCTCTTCTTGGGCACACTAATACAGGTAAAAATAATAATACTATTGCAAGTACTAAGGCCAAAGCCAATATAGGTACCAACAATGGTACTAAAACAGGTAATAATACTGATACTCCTACTAATACCCAACGTCGATAATAATACTAGTGTAAATACTAAAAAGCCTTAAATTCAAAACGCCTAAAAATTTTTCTGTTCCGTTGTTTACTATATATTTCGATAGGGTTTATTAACTTTAATTTTTAAGCTTTTATCAGAGTGATAGGGTTACAAATAATTAAGCTTGTATCTAACAAGTTAAATATGTAAATCCAACAAGCCGAGTTTAAAAACTGAGGTCGTAGCTCAGCGGTTAAGATCATCGACGCGCAACTCAAAGCCGTGAGTTTTGATTACCACCGACACAAGTTTTTTTTCTGTATTTGATCGTTCTTTACCCTCTTAAAGGCTAATAAAGTGAAAATCATCTTCGTTACCTTTAGAAAATTAAGTTTGCAATACACGGACGGGGATAGCACGCTTTTACGAAGATTTGTAGTGCAGCTCTTTCGCCAGTAACCGATATCCGTGCTTGGTAAGTAATTCGTACGTTATGAAGAGGTCATACTCTAAAGCAATGTTCTGAACAACCACGGCGCGCCTGTTATAACGCTAGAAACTTTTTTTGTCTCATTTTAAGCGGGGACGCTTTTGTAAGTGAGTCGAAAAGGAGAAAGCTACACGTATGTCATAAAAAACTGGATAACATAACAACACATACCAGCGTCCCCCGTTGCGCAAGGAGAGTTTTTTTTTTTACACTAAAGAATATATAGTTTTATTCGTAGCAACCTCGCTTCATAGTTTACGCGCCACCATCATGACATTTTAATGTTGGTAACCCTCTATATTTAATTTAAAGTCACCACAGGATTAGTTTGATTTTAAGGTCAGCAGCAATGGTGGTGCAGTGCGTTTTTTCTTAATAAAAGGACTTTGCTTCCATTCCGTCTTAATAGTAATTTTCTAACGGAGACAACAGCTGGGGAGTGTGACTAGATAGCACTACGCATGCTAGCACAATGAGGCTGGTCACATTATCAAGAAGTATAATCGTCGTATCAGCTTGTGCATAAAGTAGTTCGCTTGTGGGGGGTTATTGGGAAGTAGCACGACGTGCACATTATGTGCAAGAGCAAGGTGACAAAAGAGGCTCTACAAGGGAAACCGCTGTTGTTATGGTTTGGGGGCGAGTGTGCATTGCCAACCTCTCAACAAATAACTTAACTTTACCTCCCTCTGGCGTGTCTTTTTCCTAGTGAGCCGGTGTAGTCAATTAAGCGATAAATTGCCTGCGGTGTTGTGACGCCACGACCACTCTGATGAGACATCGACGCTTACACTCTAGTTCATTTAGGTTGATGATTAAGGCTGTACTCAACCTCAAGTGTACGTCTTGGCGGTGTGGTATGCCATGGTCAACGTGCCCTCGAACTCAGTAGCAGCAACGTCAAGTAAAGAGGCCTTCTGGATGCTGGAGGTGCAGAAGAGGTAGCTTTGAGAATTTCGCTCGTCCGTAAATGCCCTCGGTGTCTCTTTCTCGTCGCCAACTCAAGCGGCGCTGGCAGCTAGTTCGACAAACGTGAAGGACCTTGGTGACCTAACTGGCGATACGTATGTGTAGAATTTATTCACCTTATAGCAGGTTTTAGAATATGAATTATTGAGAAAAACTAAAAATTTTTACCAGGTACCTTATTGAATCAATTTTTTTCGATATAAATATATTAAATATAGCGCAGGAGTGGCTCGTTTATATTTTTCTGCTCTCGCACTTTCTTTCTTTTTCAGTTTTTACCGCGTCTTGAGTATTTTAGTTTTCCGTTGGTCTAGGGGACTATCAATGTTATAAAGGTTATAGTTTAGTCCAGAGGCCTAGAACAAAGACCAAACGTCTAAAGGGCGTTATAGTGAAAGTTAACAAATAGTTTAGGAGTCTAGAGGACAACTAAGTAAATACTTAGTTAATAAGTTTTAAATATTTCAAATAGATTCTAAGAAAATTTATTTAAACACATATAGTGATAATGCCTTTCGATGCTTAGCCGCTCTAGTCGAAGTTTCGGGAATTCGATAGTTCAACTGCTAACCGAAATATTACAATCAAGATCCCCACTTTAAACAGCTATAGAGCTATTTATAAAATAGGTTTTTAGGCTGTAGGCTTTATAAGCTGCTACCACCTACCTTTTTGCTTTCTAAAGGGACAGGAATTTATCGCATTGCGTTGGTGTTACATAACCAAAATATCTGAACCCCACACTTCCCATCGAGGCGGTCCTGGTGGTGCGTCGAAAAGTTGCTGGACTTGAATAAGACTTAAAAAAAGAATAGTCTAGCTTATAGTGTAATGCGCTATCATCGCTCCTCTTAATAATAAAAGGGGAGTATATATAGAAGAAAAAAATGGGCACACGAAGATGCATGACATAAAAAACCAAAGAGGAAAAGTTATCTGCCTTAAATATATATTTAATAAGATTAGTTAGCATTTTTAAATTCTTTTACATTATAAATGAACAACAAAAATGTTTATTTATAAAAATTTTTTGCGTTTGTATTAGATTGTCCAAATCTATGTCCATAGTTCCTAAACAAAAGCCGAAAATAGCAGGATGATCTACATAATTTCAAAAGAACGTTCCAGACCATTAACTATCTAAAGCATCGTTAACAGGGCTAGCACTTGCCTAGTGTGGTTTGTCGCTGCTGTGGTAATATTAGCTAGTAATAGTAAACAAGTTACATGTAATAAAAACTCGCTGAGCATAGGTCTTCTAAAGTTGGTGGTCATGAATATCTACACACCTATTAAAAAATTAGTGCATTTGTTTAGACACTACTGGCTGTTTGAAACAAAAATGTCAAAAAAAGCTGATATTATAGGACTTAAAGCTACTAAAAAAAAAATTGTAAGTTCTTATGCTTAGATTTAAAATTTAGGATTTAATTCGTAATCCAGAGCTGGCGTACAAAACTTTTATTTAAAAACCCCCTACCTAAAATACTTAAAATTTACGAAGCTAATGAATATACTTACAACCGATTACATGGCATATTTGCTTTAGCTTGCAATTATAGCAGGTTCTAAGATAGCCAATATATTTGCTAATAGCCCCCGTTGCAACGCGTGATCGACCTGTACCAATTTATTTTTACCGTTCGCTGCGAAACATTAAAAAGGAAGTTAAAAGGGTAATTGGGTAAACAAGAGGAACCTTTAGTGAAAAAGTCCTAAACCTTGTCCCTTTAATTTTACGTTAATGTTGTATTTGGTTTATTTTCTTCTCTTTTTAAGAGTAATTCAGCTGGTAATATTTTCCGTATTCAAGATTAACAAGAAAACTAAGAAAGGGCCTATTGTGACCTTAGTAGTTGTTGGCTCAGGAGGACACACTACCGAGATGTTTCGGCTAATTAAAAAAATAGATAAAAAAATCTTTAGCCCCAGATATTACCTTCTAAGTTATACCGACTTGATCGGTGCGAACAAAATCAATAAATTCGAGGATGAGGAAGTCGAGGTAATTTATGTTTATCAATTTATCTACTCATCTTTTTAGGTCGTCCTACGGACTAGTTGTTAAACCTTTATATAAACTTGTTATTAACTCTAGCTACCTATTGACTTGAAGCATCGTTAATGTAACTGCGTAAATACTAAAAACAGCGTCCTTCTTTGTAATGAGCTGTCCAAAAAATTTATATTTTTCTGGTCCCTCTTTTATATTTTTTAAGTGGGCATAAAAAATAACGCATTTTCTGCATAGCTTTTGTTTAAAATAGTTACTTGGGAGGTTTTAGGGTTTTTTAACCAAAAAGCATTAGCCTTTTTTCCCCGCCGAAGTAACTTTTTGTCTTAGATAACAGTAACTCCTTACCTCTATTTTTAGGACATGAAACAAAACAGCATGTTTAATTTACTATCTTGAGGTAGCTTCTGCTAAATTAAAAGGTTTTAAGAGTGAGTATTCAATAGCTAGAAAGGTTAAGAAATGAAGGATTGTGGTATTTCTTTTTTAGTTAAGGGAGGTGCTGAAGATTATTTGCGGACGCTCCTATACGTGCTTACTAAACATCGATATTTTTCCCAAACGAAAATTAAAAAAAATTATTTTAATTGCGTTGCCAATATATCAGACGAGAGCTTTCGACAATTTTGGGTGGAGCATTGTTGCTCTTCAAGTTACTAGCATAATTCGATTAAAATATGCGCAACTAGGGCGGGGAAAGTCATAAAGGGTAGTAACTACAAGATGTTATTTTGTTAGAATAAGTTTGTAGTTTGCTTGTACCTAAATTAAAGCTTTTGGTGTGAGAGCACGGCTTACTAATTTATTATTTGAAACTAATAGAATTTTTTTTAACCTTTAGCTAGACTTTTAACCATTTGTTGAAACTTATAGTGACTCAAGCATCTTAGCTTTTCATGTATAGACTTCCTAGGAGTCGCGAAGTAGGTCAGTCTTATATCACAGCGATATTCACCACTTTACAAACGCTTTTCTATAGCATTTCACCCTTGCTGAAACATCGACCTCAGCTTGTAACAATTTTTAATATCTTGAGTTTTTAATTGTTATTATATTATTTGTATTTGCTGGGCTACATTGTGTATTTGTTATTTAATTTTTTTTTGTAATAGTTATTAGCGAACGGGCCAGGAATTTGTGTCCCACCCTTTGTTCTCGTTGGAATCTTCAAGGTATTACTTAGTATCACTTGTAAACCTGTATTAATACTTTTCGTTAATAGTTCTTTGGATTATTAAACACTCAATGTATATTCGTGGAGAGCATTGCTAGGGTCAAAACACTATCTCTATCAGGCTTGATAATATATTATTTGCGCCTTTCTGATTGGTTTATTGTCCAATGGCTTCCGCTAAACCAAAGATACAGACGTTCTTCATATCTTGGGCGTCTAGTATAATGCAAGAGGTAATATATTTCAAGGCTCGTATTTTAAATAACAATAAAGAGAAATGAGTATGATAACATCATTTATAAAAATCTAAAAGGTAAAAATTTTATAAATTTTAGTCATTTTTTTAAAAAAAGGAATAATTAAAAAGTGGAGGAATAAGCCCAGCAGTTAATTTCACAAGCTATTTAATGAGCTTAAAAGCAATGTTCTATATCACCATGAAGCCAATTGCCGGCTATGACACTCTCGAGTAGTACTTTAAAGCTCTTAAACTTGTATTTCTTTAAAGTTACCTACAAAGCTATAGGAAATTAATTAATCCTAAATAGGAAAAACGACCGTACATTCATGAGGATCACTACATTACACAACGAAGAAACATACTATAAATTAAGCATTTGTTGGCGTTATCGAAGCATTAGGTGATCCTAGGCAATTTCTGTGTCAGACAGTTTATTCAATAAAGAACCTAAATTGAAAATAAGCTGTATTACCGTGATGTTAATTTGGTTTTCTTAAAACATGATATCGAACTTTTTTATACTCTACAGTATTCACCGGCTAAACCTTATTATACAGTTTATCCTATAGGGATATTGTATTACTATAAATAACTTTCCAAAGACGGAACGGCCCAAGCTGAGTGAGTAGTTTACACATAATTCTAGTAGCTTTATTTAAGCAAAAATTATAACTCACAATTAAGGTTTTTATTGGAAGATTTATCGGTGTACTTCAAATTAGATAACACTTAAAGACGTTCAGTAAATAGGTAGACTGTAATTGTAAAAAAAGAAATGGTTTATAAATAAACACGTTCTTTCACTTAAAGTAGTCATAACTGAAGTTTAATTCATAAAATTTATGAAGTTTTCTAATATACTTTTGTTTAAATAGGATAAGCAATTTGCGCTCAAGAATTTGAAACCATTGACAGGTATAAAATACTTATTCTCTCGAAATAAGTATGTAAGGGACTGCAGTGCTTGCGCGCAAGCGCAGAAATGACGAGGCACTACTCGCTGTCGCTGGCTATATATTGATTCCTAAGCGCCTACTACCCGAGTTTACAAGCTACAGCATCGAGTGCGTGGGCCACTATCCTTTCTGTTCGAGAGCAATCTAGTGATTAAAGACAAAGTGGGCAAGGCGAAACTATTGGCAACCTAAAACCTTCGATCCTTCGTTCGAGAAAATAAAGAATGGGAAATGATACTGTCTTTCTATTTAAAAGCGTTTCCTAAAAAAGGCTTAGTTTCTACTAAATTTAGACTGTCCTGAACTATAAAAATTTTAGTGCGTTCAACAAACGTGACAATGCTCTTATTATGAATATATAATGAACTGAAACAACTATTTTAAAGCGAGAATGAAAATTTAAAACTTTATTTTGAATTCATGCTCGACCATATCTTTATATGTATAAGAAAAAAGAAACGAGCTTATCCGTTATACTAATTACGACCCCTGGCCTTTCCTCCGCTGCTCCCTCGCTCTCTTGCACCTCCACGCCCGCGTGAAGATTCCTGCCTCTGATTGGCCTGCTGTTGCAACTGCTGATAGTGCTCTTGCGGCTGCAGTCTCTGCCGTTGTAGAAACATTGGCCGGTTCTGACCACGAAAGGGAAAGTGCCGCGGGGGCGGACGGGAGCCTCTTCCGCCAGTGGAAAACGTTTGTCGTTGATGAGAGAGATATACCCCGGACGCAGGCGGAGGGGAGGGCCTAACAGGTCTTTCGCCGTTGAAACTCTTTGCATCGACTGCCTGGATCGCAGGGCTGTCCCCTCTAGGCTGGTCTGAGTACATAGCAGGTAAAGCTAGTAAATGCATATAGGCGTGACAGAGAATATACAATAGTGATCATTATTATCAATGACGCGCTAAAACAGCTTAACGGTTGCAAAAACGATGAAATAATACACATGTTAGAGCACATAAATAAAAAAAAGACGATAAAAGAAAGCAATGATACAGAGAAATAGTACTATTCGAAAAGACAGTGGGTGCAGAGGGTCGGACGGCGGAAGAGCTTTCAAACTGAAAAGAAATTCTAACACTGAACGTAAAAAAGTCATAACACTCTCGAATTATGTTAAGATAAGCTAGAAAGAATACGGCGGTTTTTCAGTAGTGGTAGATAGCGGAGATTTTCTTTTTACTTCTTCGGAGGTCTCACATGCAGCCTTGAATTTAAAGCCGCAATCAGAAGCGATTAATAGAGAGAGTTGCTATATATATAGAATGTACAAGAGCTGTTGCTGGCACGCAAGGGGTCCCCTCCACCTCTTTAGAAGCAACTGCAGCTGATTCGTCTGCCCTTGGCTTCTTGATGTGCTCCGAGGTTGCTTGTGCGACCCGCTTCGTACATTTCAACTCGTCGGGGGGCTGGGCTGTGTCGCTGAGAACAGGAGTGTGGGCGCCCTTGTCTTCCACGTGACCTTCGTCTTCGGGGATCAGCGGAGCGGTGGGCTGTTTATCTTGCGTTCCGGGCTTTTCTGAGTGCTGATTATCTGATTCCTCGGCAGTAGCAACTTTTTTCGTCTTCGGGGTGGCCGCTAACAGCTGAGCTCGTAGGTCTTCGATAGACCCGGTCCTCCTTGCTTGAAGACCAGTCAACAGAGAGGAGGTTGCACTACTAGTCGGCAGTCCCGGTGATGTCGGGAACACAGGGGTGGACGAGGTCGGTTGGGCTGAGTGGTCGATGGAGGTCGCATGGGGAGAAGAGACTGACGGCTGACGCGAAGGCAAAGGGTCGTCACACGGGGGAGATACGCCCACTTGTGAGACGGGTGCTGAAGTCTGAGTTACGACTGCTGTATTCGCATTGGTCTCCTTGCTCTTCTGTAGCAGAAGCCTTTTCGTTAAAAGCTGTATTTTTCTCTCTTTTTCTGCCAGAAGAGCTCTGTGCTGGCTAATATTTTCGTTCAGTTCTTTTTCAAGATTTTTCTTTTCTTTCTCCAACTCCTGTACAGCACTCCGGAAGCTCTATAGCAGCTCGTAGAAAAACGGGAGGGAGGAGAAAAGGAAGTTGATACCTCCACGGTGTCTTTTGATGCGGACATCTCGCCCACTCTTTGCTCGAGTGTCTGAACGGTCTTTTCTAGAGCCTCCTTGGAAACTTTCGCCGTGTTCAGCTGACAGTCAAGTTTTCTAGCCTGCAGAATACGCTCAACACACAAGAATCACTTCCGTTTACATATTTACTTCGTTCTTCCAGTATAGCACGTGTTTAGTAAGATTCTCAATCTTTTTCACCAGCTCGGCGTGTTTTTTGCTTAATTCCTAAATACAAATACAGCGAGTGTAGCTCCAGTGAAGCTCACTACTACAGTAAAAGAAGGCTGACTACCTCCTTCTCCTTTTCAAAACCATTTTTCAGTTCCTCCAGCACAAGCTCGTGCTTCCTTTCTCCTTCTTTATATTGCACTTCCATATTCTTTATTTTTTCTTTCATGTCTGTATACTTCCCCTGAAGTGCATTGAGCTCGACCAGTGCCTTCTCCTTGGCGAGCTGCTCCTTGGCAAATGCTTCCGGATCGATGTGCTGTGGGCGCATAACAAATATGTTACACTTAAAAGAGATGATAAGAAGGCCATGGGCGACCTTATAGCGCTCAAAATAGTCCTGCAAGCGCTTTTGCAGGCGAACAATATCGTTCCGCAGAGCTACCTTTTCAGCCTCCAGCTGGTTATATTGATAATTAGCGATTTATGGGCGCATGCAGAAAAGCACAATCACAAAGTAGCGACCGTCTCTTTAGCGGTTTTTATCTTTTCATGCTCAGACGCGCTATTATCCAAAACCCTTTGCAGCTCCCTGACAAACACAATGAGCAAAGCAGAGGAGTTTATAGTTGCTGTCTTACTTTAGCTTGGCCTTGCTTTCGTTAAGGGCAGTGTGCAGCCGCGTGTTTTCCTCCCTTAGTTATTAAGAAACCTCCAGGAAAGCTCCTCAAGGGCGGTAGGTTCTTAACCTTAACAGGATATTACTATCCTTTAAAAGAGCCACAGCAGAGACTTTTGCGGAAACTTCTTGGTTGACGGGGCTATTCTTATTCTGGTTCTTTGGAACGGACGCATTGTAAGCCAATGAAGTTTGGAAAGTAGAGAGTGCTATTCTACAGTTTGTCGGTGCTGCTCCAATAGGAACTGCAGTTCGTCTCTTGCCTGAGCTGTGTGTTCGTACATCTCCTTGTACTTAGCCGCATCCTAAAGGGGCAAGCAGAGAAATAAGCCCACGTACGCCAGCGGAACAAAGCTGCTGACTTGCACCTGTCGAGCGCGTTCCTCTTTTAAGACCATCGATTGGTGTTCAAGTCGTACAAACTGCAGGATTTCCCTATATAAGTAGAATAAATACAACCGTCGGTAAACCGAAAAAAAGAGCCACAAACTCACCTTAACTCAGCGACATCATCAGAAAGCTGCTCCCCCGCACAAGCGAGAGGCTCGGAGGGGACCCCCTTCTGCTTTAATAATAAAAAAATCGTTGTGCTTCAAGTAATGACATGCATTACAGTTGCAGATAAACGGAAGAGCTTTCGACTCAGCGACGCAAACTGGGAATGAAGGAGCGAGTTTTGTTGCTCCAGTTCACTAATTCGATCGCAATGTCTCTTTATTTCGACTTCAAGGAACTTCTCCCTTTGGGAAAGCAAATTCTCAGCGTCCCTAAAACCGCACAGTTATAATTGACACGTGAGCGGGCAAAAAAGGTTAGAACTCTTTGAGTTTTAAGTGAAGTTCGGCCGTCTTCGAAACGCTCTCCAACGAAGACTCCAAGTTCTGGTGCCTTTCCTTCAAGAGAGAATATTCCTGCATGAGTGCGGCGTGCTCGACGAATATACGTGAATATTTCTCTTCAGCCGAACCAGCAATTGTGCGCTAAAGTGTCGTTTAATTGGACCCTAAACGCAACACCTCGTGAACCAAGATGACCTGTTCGGAGGCTTCCCTCTGAAGAGACAGTTGTAGCGTTTTCGCAGCGTTCAAATCCTCGCTCAGCGCAGCACTCCTCTTCTCATATTCCACGCGTTGTTTCTATTACATTTCATTAACAATGCGAAGGCGCTGGTTCGGCTCTCCAAACGACCTCAAGCTTCTCTGTCGCAGCGTCTAACTCAGCCTGAACATCCGACAGGTGTTGCACGTGTTTAATCTGTTGAGCTTTAAGGGCGGCGATTTCCTTCGCATGCTCCTCAACTCTACACTCGAGTTCGCGTTTTTCTTTCTCCAAAGCCTTCTTATACTCCTCCCTCGTTATATTAAAATTCTCGATGTTTCTTTCCAGGTTTTCACTAAGAATCTACATAATATTATAATCTCGCGCCAATTATACATCAAAGCATCCCACCTTGTAGTTTTGAGATTTTTCGTTAGCCAAGGCGAGTTGTTCTTCAAGCGTTGCTATGGTCTCTTGACGAGTCGTCAAGTCCGAGCGCAAGTCAGTAAGCTGGCTCTCTAAGAGTTTTATCTACAGCCTCAAAATAGTGAGCTAATAATAACTGGCCATCCCAACAGCAGAGTCATACGCGGTCGTCTTCGCATTGGACCTCTAGTAAAATGCTGAGACGCTTTTCACTTTCTTCTAAGCGGAGCTGAAGATCTTCTACCGTTTTTTGAAGGGAAAGCTCGCTGTTATGCAGTACGCCAGCTTCTTTTTCGAGGTCGAAACGAGCCTTTTTCTGTAAAAATATTGTAAGATTTTTAAAAAAAAAAAAAGGAAAGTATGCGAACTTCAGCCTCAAGAGAGCTCCGCAAGTTCGTTACAAGAATTTCTTGGTCTCGATAAAGAGACTGAATTTCCTGTTTAAGTTTGGCACATTCTGACTCAAGCAGAAGCTTCTCTTTCTTTAGGCTTTCTCAAGCAAAAGTTAATAACAGTGCATGCACAGAACCAGGAAAACATATGTATACGTTTCAGTGTAGTGGTTCACGTTGTCTACGGCGCTTTTTTCAGTCCTGGCGAGTCCTGGCATCATGGAAATTTCGGGAAAATGAATAAAGCAGACGACGCTAAAGAGATCCAACCTTCCTGAATGGCTTCCAATTGAAGGAGGAGCGCCTCTCCTTGCTGGCTCTGGTGCCTAACCGACTCGAGCTCTGCCTCTAAGCGGCCAATGCAGCCCCTGCTGACTTCTAAGCTGGAAGAGAGCTGAGAAAGTTTTGATTCCCTGAAAGCAACCATGAGAAGTATGTAGAGAAGTCTACCGGCTATAATACTTCTACCTTTCTACAAGCTCCTGGCCTTTGGCGGCGAGTTCCTGGTTCAGACGGGCAACCTGCCTGCCATACTCGACAATTTGGTCCACCAGTGCTTTGTTTTGGTGCTGGGCATGGTCGAGGTCACATGAAAGGTTAGCTATGTGAGCTTCCCTGTGCTTTAACATATTTTGTCCGAGTTCCAGCTCCGATCGCAGTTTGGTGCCTTTAACAAGGTCGGAAGAGAAACAGAAGAATAATATAGGAAAGTGATTTACAGGAAAGTAGTATCGCTTCCCGCTCGTTTAGGAGTGCAGTGAGTTCCTTGATTTGGTAGTCTTTTTGTTCTTGATCAGCCTCCTTTAAAGTCTCGATATCGCCCTTTAAAGAATCTCTCTCGGACTTCAGAGCCTCTAATTCCTGGGCGAGCTGCTCCCAGTCCGCTGGTGCGGCAGCTTTACTTTCTAGCACGGATTCCTTTCTCTCCAAAAGTTCTGCAAGCTAGACAATGAAGTGAATTACCAAAAAGCTTTGCTTTTTCTTTCTACGTGATACCATGCTCCGCTCTTCTAAAAGAGTCTGCAACTGCGCCCGCTGGTCCACCAAGTGAGACATAAGCAATTCATTCTGACTCTGAAGATTATTTAGGTCCTTAATGATGTGCAGACTCCGTTGGAGCTCCTCTTCGCGCTGTTCACCGTCCTTAAAAAACTTCCTTCAAAGATAAAAAGTAAGCGATGTTAAATAAAATTAGAAAAATCACACCTCAGCAAATCCCTCAACTGGGCGTTTTGCTCAAGCAGATCTTCCACACTTGAGTAGGTCACAAGTTTGTTAGAGATAATCTGATAATCCGATAAGAATGAACGGCAGGGAAAAAAAGTAGAAGAGAGACTGTCTCGATATCCAGAGCCACTGGCGAAGAGCTGCTCTTTTCAAAGACGCTCTCTTCTACGAGATCGCCCTTCAAAACGGCTATTTCCTATAAATGTATAAAAAGTGGACGTTCAAAAACTGTTACAAGCGGAGACACACGGAGACCTGCCTTCAACAAATGTTTGTTTTGAAGGTTGATATCACTAAAACGGCGCCTCGTACGAGCAACTTCCCGGTTCATCTCCTCCAAAGTAGCCCTGAACTGCTTATTTTCCTCCTGAAGAGAGTTGGCGGCCTCTTTAAGTTTTAAACTGCGCCCCTCAAGATCTTTATAAAGCTAAAAAAAAATAGGTGCATTTGGTGGCGAGTCAAGAGCACGAGGAGGCCACTGCACTTGTTTGGTTGCCTCGTGTTCCTTGCGCTCTCTTTCGATCTCTGGAGAAACCTGTTCCATGCGGCTCCAAACTTCTTCTAGACACCTCTTGTACTTGGCCACCTCTCGCCTGTGTTATCGTTAAGGCGAGAGGAAACCGCGGCGATATGGCGTAATTGCAGATACTCTTTGGCGGCACTGACTTCCGTTAGCCGAGCAAGTTCGCTGTACATCTTCGTGATGGACATGTCTTGAGAGTATAAGCCAATAACTAAGCACAGGAAAATCAGGCAGGAGAGGTATACCTTTCAGCTCCAGATAGTGGGAGAGCTGTGCCGCAGTGCTTCCGGGCTCAAGCGTTTCTTTCTGCTGCAGGAGAATAGCATTGGCCTCCTGAACAGATAAAAAGCATCAGCCAAAAATTATATTCTATATGTAGATATAAGAAAAGCACTTCGAACTCCTTTCTAACGGCCTCAAACTCGCAACGCAACCTTTCTTGGTCGGCTTGCTGTGCTCTAATGAGGCCTTCGTAACGAGCTTTTTCGCTGGCACACTCGTTTTCTAACTTCGTGCGCTGGGAAACACATTCTTCTAGCTCAGAAAGGAGCCTTTCACTCTATAGAGTGAAAAAAAATAAAAAACTGTTCCTCTTCTACACCTTTAAAAACTGGAGCCTTCTCGCGGTAGTCGCGTGCCTTCTCCTCGTAAGAGCCGCAGAGTATCTCGAGTTTGGTGAGCGTGGCATCTTTCTCCACCAATGAAAGCTTTATATGTATATAAACCTGATAATAAAATTATAATTTTACTGTAGAGTGCAATACTTTAAGCTCTTCAACGGCTCTTTTCGCTTCGCACATCGACGTCTCCAAATCTTCTTGTAATTCTAAAAAAAAGAAATTGAGACTAAAGAAAACAAGTATAATCTTTTCTCCAACGTAAAACTTTGGCATGAAAAGTGTCTTTTGCTGTTTTTGCGCTCTGAAGATCAACCATTAATAATTCATTCTTCATTACAAAAAGTCAGATCAATGATGGAAACAAGAAGGCGTAAGAGAAGAACCTTAGCAGTAAGCTCGCCAATCTTGGCGCTCGTGTCAGATTGTACTTCCTGTAGCAGTGTTTGCTTTCTTAGAAGTTCTTCGTTTAGCCAGTTCTACAAGAGAAATCAATTAAGGATGGAATTTTTATGTCGGAGGTTGTACAGTTCTCTCAGTTAAGGACACAATTTCTTGCTCCAGTTTGCTTGTTTTAAATTTGGCCTCGAGAGCTTCACTCTGGGCTTTAAGAGCTCGCGAGCGCAACTCATTCTAAATTTAACTTATATAAAAAGGACTTAATTAATAGAAGCGTATAAACCCGCTGCTCTTGGCTTTGACAAAGCTGGTCAGTTAGCTCGTTGGCTGTGGAATCTTTAGCCCTTGAAAATTCTATGCTCTGGGCCAACCTCTCCATTAAAATAATTCTGATGGTATATATTCACCAATAAAAAAAATTGATAAAGTAACGATTTAAAAGAAAATAACAATTATATTAATATAAAAACCTCTCCCGCGAGATTTCCTCCAAAGAGCTACGAAGCCCTTCAACTTCTGAAAGGGAAGCCTCAGTAACAACTTTAAAATGTTCAAGTTTTTCACATTTTTCTCGAAATTTATTAGCCTCCTTTATCGCAATGTCACGATCTTCTTTTAAGAGGGTGGAATTTGTAAGCGTTTCTTTTTGAAAAGTTATTAGCTGAGACTCAAGTTGGTAGATTTGCTCCTCTAAAAAAGATGAATTAAAAAAAACTTGAACATGCTAGACATTTTCACCAAGAAATCTAATAGTAATATTAACTGTACCATTATATAAATGTTTAAAAAAATATTACTAAGATTTGTAATTATTTAACCGTAATTAACGTTATCAGACTTTAGTTTCAGCGAGTTCTCCAGCACTTTGTCAAATTCTTGAGTTAAAAGTACCCAAATGTCACCTCCATTTAACTCTATTAAGTTAGAAAAGTTAACAGATTTGTTATTTCATAAAAAGCTTATATAAGGTTATATGTAAGTTCGTTGAACATATTTCATTGAGTTGCCTTTTAAAATTATAACTTGTGCTTCTGAGAGTACATTTTCTAAGGGTGACAGTAACATGTCCAGACTACAAGTAGTTTTTTTAATTATTTATCACCCAGAAATCCACTCGGGTAACAATATTAAAAAAAAAATTCTACAAAAGTCAGACAAAGAAATACTAAGGGCACGCAGGAAATATTTTATTGTAAAACAAAGGCGCAGTAAGGTTATCAGCCACGCGGAAGTAGCGGAGAATTTATTCTATACTGGGGTACCAGAATCATACTCCTGTTCTTTATCTGTTTAAGAGAAGCAAAAACCAATTAGTATATACTTGATAATTTTTTAAAAAAAAATGCATTTAAAAATTTTATTGATTGTGGGAAGATTAATTAAAACTACAACTTCACGCTTAGAGGAAGGATTCAAATTTTATATTTTTATATTTTTTTATCCTTAGAACCCTGTCGGCTGCTTATAGTCTACCTGACCCTTTAGAGTAGAGTTAATTTCTCTAAGCTGGCAACACCAGTTAAAACCTTGTACACTCTCCAAGAAGGTCCTGAGATCCCCTAGACGGCAAAGCTTTTATTAAAATTTAGTTTATAGAGAACTGTACACGTCACCACCAAACCAGAAAATTGCGAGTTGGCACCGAAGGGACTCGAACCTAACAAGTTAAATAACAAAACCTTTCACACAGAGACCAAAAGTTGTCGTAGCTCAGCGGTTAAGAGTATAAGGCGCGACTACTCTTAAGTCGTTGGTTCGATTCCCACCGAAGCTACCCTCTTTTTTTGATCTTTGTTGCTCGCGTATTTAACTTCGGCCTCCTAAATTCTAATAGCTTTCATCTTAATATGTAGTGCTTGGGTCGCACTCTCTAAGAGACCCTCCAATTAGCCCCCGCCCTCTAGGGGCCCATTATACCACAACCACTAGAACTCTCGTTCGAGTATATTCTTACGTTGTGAGAAGAATGTAGAAACTTTTGTTGACACCGTTATATTCTTAACCTAAGAGTTAAATTCTATTGAAGACATACAAATAGTCTTGGAGTGTAACTTCATACTCAAAAGCAAATATTTTAAACAATGTATTGTCTAGAGAACAGTGATATCCCTTGAGCAAGTGGCTAAAGGTGGTCGCAGAGCCCGTAAAATTATCAAAAATCAAAAGTAAGTGGCTAAGGACGTCTGGGCGCGGATAAACTTTTAAATTATAAAGAGAGGTAAATCCAAAGTATTGACTTCCAAAATAAACTAATTTGCTAGATAGCTAGTGAAGAGTACACGAGCAACGCTAATAAGCTCCCTCAAAGACTAGTTTAAGTTGCGCATAACTTCGACACATTTGGCACCCGGGACTCCCTTCTGTATTTTAGGAGATTTGAAGGTTTACTTAAAAAAAAAAATAAATAATGGCTAAGGTTATATTTAGGAGCAAACTTATTTAAAGACTTTTGGCCGAAACACTGATCACATAATTAGCGTATTTTTATGATTTATATGCTTGGAACGATTTTACGGAAGCAAAATAAACTTTAACTAAAAATAAGATATATAAAGCATAAGTTTTTTACTGCGATTTATGGTATTGAAAACAGACTAATGTACTTTTTATAGGGCCAGCCTTATGCAAAGATTTTTTTAAAACTGGTCGTCATCAATAGACTGTTTATAAGAAAAGACTCAATCTGTTTCAGGTAAAGGTAAATTATTATGCCATCTATATACTTCATCGAAGGTATTATTCGTGAGTGCAAGATTAAATATACGTTGACCCATTAAAAATCGAAAGAAGAGAGTAGCGTCGGTGAGAATCGAACCAACGACCTTGAATTGCGCGGTCAATGTTCTTAACCCCGGGGTTACGGCGACAATGATAATGTTTAAAACAAAATATTAATAGTTTTAAGTAGTAATGACATTAATTAAAATTTTTAGTAATATAACATCTACAATAGATATATTACTAAAAAATTATTAATTTAATTGTAGTTACAGGATTAGTAAACTTTTATTACTCCTAATTAAACTGTTCTTACGAAGGCTAATCAATAAGCATAACCTTCTAAGTCAGGCACTTCGCAGAGAGACAACCTCGCCGAACCTTCCCACCTTGCTGTTTGAATTATTTTACTCATTACAATTGCAACACGGCACTGAAATATACAAATAAATTAACCTTCAGGGTGTAACATCTAACGGTCAAACGGCCCTTCGTCACTCGGAACTTGATACGGTTTAGACTTTAAAACTCTTCATCTTATTACTTTGCGCGGCAGCATTTAAAGGAGTCAATAAAACCTATAGGATTAAACCGACTATTTTTTAATATTTAAGTCCAAAATAATCAATGTTTTTCAATTCTTCATATATAACAGACTTGCAACAAAATAAAAAATAAATAGTATACAAGTTATAAGGAAAAACCGAAGTGCTGTGAAGACAACATCACTAAAGGAAATTAACATAATAAACTTAAATATGATCAAGTCGTTAATCAAACTGCAATTTAATTTTTATATTGCCCATTAAAACCAAACTGAAAGCACTAATTTCTACCATCATTACTCGAATCCCTCATTGAAGGGCAACGTTTATCATCTGTACCTGCAGCTTAGTTGCCTCGTTACAAACATCACTGGCAGCACACGGTCGGGTATCACATACCGACTTCAAAAAGTCATTATCATTTAGGAAACATTAAAGGCTTATCACAACTTTATTCCAGTAATCAGCTAACAGGCAATATAACATTTTAAGAGGTGTTCGAAGAGTCACGAAGATTTCTAACCTTTTAAAGATCAAGAATGTTCCAAGATAATTAAAAACAATATACACAAAATTTTAAAAACAATAAAATTTGGATCCTTTTACTCTATGTCTCCTTTTTCTTTTGGTTTTGTTATGATCGGAAACCATTTTAGATTGGAAAAAAGAGTTGAGTTTGCGGAAATCGAACCCAACACTTTGTAATTACGCATTAAAGCTAATAATAAATATGACAAAACAGGTAAATATTAAAGTATGAAAAACAAAAGAGAAAAATAAAAGGATATAAGACTAAAATAGTGTCTTATGGTTATATTAATGGCATTGGTACTTATCAATATATTTCTTTTTATCCAAGTATAAATGGCAGTTCATATTTTTTAAGTAGTTCGATTTAACCATTAAAATAACTATTATAAAGAACTTTTAAAGGTTCCTTTTTAAAACTTTATATGTAGGAAATTTAGTGAAAGTAACCTTACCTCCGAATATGCGAGTTTCTAATTTAGCATTAAAGAAATGCGTTAACCTCTCAATTTACCTTATTTAACAGGCGCATATAGGCTGTCAAGGCATATTTTTGTGTGAATCAAGGAAATGTAGTTAGTAAGTGCATAAATTTAAGCTTTGTCTAGAGGCAGTTCGGTTGGGGAGAGCACAGGTGAAAAGCACAGCATCCCGTCTCATCTGAGAAGTCAAAACCCGGGGAAGCCTGATTACTGCGGTGGGATTAGCTTTTGTGTACCCAAAATGTAGTGAATGGCCCTGTGCACCTCTACTTCTCTTGACTGCTATAAATATTTAACTTTTTTACATAGCGCTTTATTTAAAATATACTTCATATTTATTAAAAAAACTACGTGAATTTATGTCTACTAGCTATATATCGCAGACCTTATATATATATTATATTTATAATTTTAAATTTTATTGTAAAAATATAAATATCTATATTGATTATGAGTTTCTTCTCTAAAAAAGAGCTGCAAACATTCATTGCTAATTTATGGGTTTTTTAAATGAAGAACCTAGAAAAAAGGTAGTTCTACAAAGGTAAAACTTCTTTTGAAGTTACTAATCCAATCAGATATAAATGTCTACTATGTGAAAGGAGTCTTTTGATAGTATAATTAACGTAGTAATGTACAGAAATAGTAAAATATACAGTGGAAAAATGAAAATTTAGTAGTAATAATAACAGTAATAATTATAATCCTTGTAATAAATATAAGAATAGTATCAAAAAGGGTAATGACAATTTAAAAGTTATTAGAGGCTCAGAGAAACCTC